ATCAGAAAGATTCAGTTAGTCTTTTTAGAATGTCTATACTAATTATATATTCAGGAATGGGGACAATCATGATTGAATATAATTGGTTTGAGAGGTTTTTTATTTTTGTTTCTATTTTTGTTTGTTACAGCTTTAATTTATTTTCCTCCCAAATCTGTAATAATTATAGGTTGTCTTTTAAATTTCCTGGGGTTCCCATACATTTAGGAGGCCTCTGCTCCAGCGTCAATTAAGGCATTTACAGTTTGTGAAGACTGGTTGTTTAAAGCCAAAAACAAAACCAACCAACCAACAAACAATAACAACAAAAAACCTTTAAGCTCTACATGGGGCTGTCGGTCCTTCTGCACCCACTGCCCTCGAGCTTGGCCATTAATTCATTTGTGCTGATTAAGATATTGATTCACCTCCCCTGACTCCTGCAAAGGGTACAAGTCATAGAATGGGGACGAATCCTCTTTCACCCCTGGAACCGGTGATCCACTCATAGGGGGCCCTCCTCAAGCAGATGGGGGGTTCTGTCGAGGTTCAAGAAGGGGCACCATAGGCTGAGTTGTCCCTGAATTCTTAGTTTTAGAACTCTGCACTCTCTTGCTAGGTTTATTCAGCCCTCTCTGTGTATATATTTGCCACAGCTCGTTAGTTGGAACACCATAAATTTTTTCATGAGACATTCTGTCTTTTAACAAAGCCGTAAACATGTCCTTATGAGGAATCCTGGTTTTACTGTCTTTAGGGCTGTCTTGAATATCTCGATTCTCTAAACTCCTTTGGGGGCCCCTCTCATCAAGGTCACATAACTGTTGCACTTTTTCAATTACTTCATCGAGGGGATCCCCTATTTCATTAATGCAAAAGGGCATAATTACATTTTTATATGCTGGTGGAGCAGTTTTAATCACTCTGTTTCTCATAGTGACCGACAAAAAATATTGCATTAAAAGGTCAGTGTTTCCTAAAAATATAGCTGCTTTCATTCACTGTATACAGTCTCACAAAGTATACCACAGATGATTAGATGCCAGTCAATCATTCTCTGTAGGATATTTGGTATTATATCCCAGAGCAGCCAATGCTAACAAATCAGTATCTTGAGTATTGTTTTGAAATGCATCCTGCACAAAAGAATCTGAACTTAAAAAACCTTTTAGAATCTCCTGTGTCTAGGGTTATTCCTGCAGCTCCCTGATCACACAAACGCACCATCCAAGAGAGCAGGGTCTCCCCTAGTCTCTGCTTAAATCTTTCAGTTATATTGTTTACTTCATCCTCACAGGTTGCCCAGTATAGGATCTTTACCAGGATCCCACTGTACACCTGCTTCTGCAATCCCCACATGCACTTTTTTACAATTCATTCACCCCCTCCTTCTCATATATTTATATTGTGCTACTCACACCGCAACTTTCTCTGCCACTGTCTGATAAGTATCTAGCTTATCAGCAAGCAACTTATTCTGGCATTGCAACATCACTATTTGACTCTGCAAATCACTCATCTATCGCTCCATCTGGGAGCGCTCTAACAACAGCCTCTCTTTACTCTGGTGTTGTTTTCTACATGCAATTAACAAAATCCACCCTCGTTTAATTAAATTTGTAGCTTCTTTTCCTTTTTCAATAGGTACCTTTTCATACAATTTAAAACATCCAATGGTTACTTTAAATAATGGCATTTTTGTCGTATCCCACTTCTGACACCAATTTATGTTTTGCTGATTAAGGATAGCAATTAAACTCAGACACCAGAGTGAAAAGAGCAGGCATATTTTACTTAAAATAACTAAATAATGTAACAGAAAAATACAGAAAACATACGGTAAGAAAAGACGGAACAGCGTGCTTAAACAAATAGGAAAATACAGGGTAATGCATCAAATCATTACTACCTGAGAGAGAGAATAGTGATTAAGAAAGATCCATCACCACTTGCATACGTTACCATCCCCCAGACCCGCAGTGGCTGGGCAGCCCCGGTTACAGCGAGGGGTTGGAGAGCCTGTCCCGGCAAGTGGGAAATCCTACGCAGTGCGTCCACCCATAGGTGAGGCTGCCAAAGTCGCTGCGAGCGGGTCCAGCATTATATACTAAAAATCAGCAAGCCAGAATAGCTGGCACCTTTGGTTTTGAGCGGAACATCTGGTTTCACTCTCTCATTAGATTCCCCCCAGAGCCTGGCCAGGGCTTAAGGGAGAAGCTAAGGGAGTTTCCCTCCTTATCTAATTTATTTATGTTCCTTTTAAAACAAGGCCATACGTCTGTCCCAAGGCCAGACAGCTAGCTTCACGGCTTTGTTAACTCACCCCTACACAGAGAAGAAGAAAGGTACATTCAGAATAGAAATGTTTTCATTACATCCATCACCCATAATAAGTATATGATATCTAACCTACATCTTTCATAAATGAGCATACATATTTTGTCAGTGACTAAATACTAAGTTAGCAGCTTCGACTCGGGGCCTGTTGCTCAGGCTTCAATACTTCCACCTCTTACATCAGAACAGGTGGTTTGTTATAACTTAGTATAATAGCTATTAGCACAATGATTATTAGTTATAAAATATACAGGATTCATCTATAGGTCAACTCTGGCTTGGGCCTATTGTCCAAGCCCTAGCGCTTCAGATGGTGACCTCGGTTCTATTCAAAGAGTTACTCCTTCTAATCTTGTGGTGTAGAGCAAGTCATTTCCCTCCATTTTTATAACATATAGTTTATACCTGGTCTCCCTACCACCCTTTCTGGTTTGAGACTTCCGTGAGTGCAATGGCAATAAAAACACTTGTTGTTATTAGAGAATCTGTTATATTCACTGGGCTTATACGCTTTGTTTTTGTTATGGGCAAAAGCTGCTAACAAAAGTCAGCTGCCGATCTTGTGATGTTTGAATGGGAGAACACCTTGGGAACATGCAAATCTTCTCCAGGCTGCATAACAGCACTTTATATTTTAGAAAACCAAAATAAAACATTCATGTAGATACAACCAAAATAAAACATTCATGTAGAAACCATGATACTCATCAAGAAGGGCTTATAATGAAAGAGTAAGTAATTAAGATTATTTTTTTTTATCCACTTTTCTAGGGGTGTGTGACCCAAAGCTGTATTTCCCGTTCATAGTGCTCTTAGGTAATCAGTTAAATAATGATGTAAAGTCAGTGTTGGCCGTGATCAGGGAAGTAATACATAACAAATATATTTCCTTTTGTGAGTCTGTGAGGTTGATTAACTTGGGGCGTTTGGGTTTGTTTCTACCATGAAGCTGCAGGAAATCTTGAGGAAAAAAAAATAAAATTGTTTGTTATCTCCTTGATCTGTAACTTCTGCTTCAGTGTTTATTCAATTCCCTTCTTGTTAGGGGTCACTCCACCGAACACTCAATAGTGGGAAAACCTGAGATTTGAATTCAGGGAATGCTTTCAGGAACTGTCTCATGTGTGCCAGATTCTTTAAAAAGTTCTATGGGACAACTCACATGTTTAAGCTTACACTGTATTGTAATTATCTATATGGATCTGCTTTCAGTTTCATTTATAGCTGCTGAAAGCAGTATCATCATCCAAGTCAGGAAGCAAGGATTGAGTTTTGTTTGCAATTACAACTAATCCAGGAACTGAACAAAGTTATTCTTGGTTTGAGTTTTAGAAGCCCCTCCAACACACACACACACACACACACACACACACACACACACGCATATTTACACACCCTGAAAGTCTGACTTTTGCCTCCACCTGTCCTTCTGCCCTGATTTACAAGTGCACCCACTCCCTCCTGGTTCATACACGTCTGCTAATTCAGCCTGCCTGTGTTCTCTGCTATGCCATCCAGCAGTCCTAAACATACTCTGTTCACACTTGGCTCTCATTTTCTAGGTATTTTTTTATCCTAGAAGCTCCTGAATGATGACCAGAACTTCTGAAATTATGAGTTGAGGGCTGGAGAGAAAAAAGAGTGAAAGAAGGTGCCTCATTCTTCATGTGCAAAGACTAAATAATACAGCTTTTAACTTTACAGCTTTTACTGTAATAGCACTGAAATGAGTCACTGGAACAGTCTTCTTTTTGGCAAAGGGTGAATCTATTTTCTCTTTGTACTTGTTTTTGGGAAAACAACTTGAATTTTTAACCTAAACTCAAGACTGCTACAACTGCCACAAGACTACCTTTTCCTGTTGTCTCACTAGCAGTTTCAGTGTTGATTTTTCTCTTTTTGTGACTACAAGAGGTCCTGTAAGTGCTAAAGAGCAACTGCCTCTTAGCAAAGGTGAATGCTCTCAGCCTAAAACCACACCCCCCATGCTTTTGCCTCTTCATGTCAAAATTGAATATATCTGGTTTTAATATTTGTCACAGTAGGAGGAAAATAGGAGGAGCACAGAAGTTCCACATCTCCAGATGAGATTATTATCCAGATGTGCTAAATAATAATAACAATAAAAAAATCACGCCATTTTACAGGTTATAGAATGAGTTAATTCATTGGTTATCTTTGATGCGTACAGTTTTGTGGTTCTTGCAGCTTCTATATGTGTTGCAGTGTTTTTACTCACATAATTCTGGAAACTCTGAACCCCAAATGATTGTATTCCTTCAACACACATACCAAAAGCACTGGCTCACCAAACCTCCTTTATGTATAGCATTGTCTCAGGAAAAAAAAAAAAAAAGGGATATCCATCTGAAATGGGAGACAAGACAAACAAAAGCTAGACCATCATTAATTATTTTAAAGAGAAATAATAAAATTGAAGTTGTTCAGCAATTATACAGTTACTGCTGTCCAAGTCAAAGGGAGAAAGAAGGAAAAGAACACAAGTATATTTACATTCAGAAAAGTAGTGTTTTTTGTGATATATATTTGAAGGTTTGTCTAAAACACTTGAGTTTTAATAACTAAATTACCCGTGGAAAAGAATGATTAAAAAACTGGTTTTATGCAGCCACGGCATTTACTTCAAACTACATTTTTTTAGTATCTGTATTTCTCTATTACAGCAAATTTCCTGTGAGCATCTCAACTGGTGTGGCCTTGTGAATAAAGAAAGTAAAGAAAATGCAAACAGATTCAGAATTTAACAAGAGCGGTGCTAGCCTGGAAGAACTGCATAGAGTTACAGCAGCTCTGTTCATCAAGGGACAGCACCTCTGTATGTGCAGAAGGTAAAGTATTTACATGTATGCTAACACTCAAATACGCCCAGTGCGAAGGCCTATTTGGAATTCACTTCTGCCTACATTTGGCATAGTAAGCCAGGTGATTTTGCCATTTGCAATGCTTATCCATCATCAGTGTCAGTTTGAAATACATATATATCCTGCTTGAGTGTCTTGGAAAATATTTTTCATCTCAGATACTAATATTACATGTTCTCATAGTTGATCTTAAACATTAATACATCATGCCAGCTTTGACCACTTCCTCACAGGGAGGACTGGGAAAGTAAAAACAAGTCTAGAAAGCAAAATCTTTTAAAGATTGATTTGATTAAGAGATACACAAGTGCTTTTTTAAATGAAAAGTGCAGTTGTTCTGCAGGAAATGATGACATTCCATCCACTTAAGTCTTTGCTAGCAAAGACTATAGCCTTCTCCTTGTTCCTTCGTGATGTCATCACTACAAGCAATCAACTAGATCTCAAGGAGTGCCGCCAGTCACATTCATCCACCCACAAGATGTCAAAGTCCAGCATGGTGTTTGATACCAGGGCATTTGCTGGGAGGCCAGTAGGAGTGCTGGAGACTTTCAGCAGCATGGAATAGTTCTGGTTTGGGTCTGAATGTGATCACATCTACCAGTGCACTTGGAGTTGATTCAGATAGTCTAGTGGGACTTACTGCTGCTTCTGGTGGGATTCTGAAGGAAAGCATTCCCACTTGGGTGTGCAGTATTTTTCATCTTGCTGTTCTAGCTTGAGTGTTTTGACAGAGGCACGCATGTTAACATAACAGTGAGTTAGCTAGTTGTGGCTGTGCTGGCCTAGTCTTTTCAAAGAATCTGGCAAGTGTTAAAAATACAATAATGACACAAGAGTAAATAGGGATATATAATACACCACTACTATTTTGGGGTTGGAAATTCAGAATTCTAGTTAGAGATATAAGACTTGGAAACAGTTTTCTTGTAAGAGTACTGCAAGCAAAAGATTACAATGTAAGATAGCACTTGAGAAATCTGTGTACAGTGTAGGTGATGCAAGATGCTTGACTCACAGAAGACTGGGCTGAAACAATGATGGCCCTGGACAGACATTAGACAGGCATCCTAAGCTTCATGAAGCAAAGGGAAGCAATACCTTTTGTATTAAAATTAAGGTTTTGGTCTAATATTTGTACTTTGTATTTTTGCAATGAGCTTTACAAACTAGTCACTATTTTATACCCTTCCCTATAGTCCCAGTACTACCCAGCATATAACAGTAGTCTGAACCTGAAATTCTAAACAGATGATTAGTTAAAAATTGACTTAAAGTGTGAAGCTAGAAAGACATTTATTCTGCAATGTACTTAGTACTTTGGGAGCCTGTATCGTATTTAAAAAATGGCTTAAGCACTTGGAATCCTAAAACTTATTAGTAGTCTGTGAGACATACATTTCTACATGCATGAATGATTTTTGAAAGTAGGTTTCAGGTTCCTAATTTGCTTCACATGCTTTCAAAATGTTTACCATTTGTGTGTATAAAATTGAAAAATCCCCTGGCAAATTGAGGCAAATGGCATCTGCATGACATTCTGGATCACTTTCTGATATCTTCAAGTGCTGTAGAAGATAGAAATAAATTTAAACCAAGACATATCGTAAGATAAAGAGAAGTTCTTGCGTATATTATGTATAATGGACCTGTAATCCAAAACTGTGAATGAGACCACTCAAACTAAAACAACCTGTGTTGGCATATTAAAGTTTACTTGTCAAAGTAGTGTTTTGCTGTTTGTAGTTTTTTTTAATTACTAATGTTTAAGGTAGCATCAACCGTGGACTACACAAGAATCATTTAGGTGATTAAACATTTTTTACATTTTATGTTTTGCTGGCATCCTGCCAGTCCATAATGATAATTTCTATAGTTAGCATTTTTAAAGTAAACAATAGATTAGTTCTGAAATTAGTCCTTGAAATTTCTTCTGTTTGTGCAGCTCAGGAGATCTTAATGCAAGCAGCCTTCTGTTGGCATGCAAAACAACAAGATTCAAGCTGTTGCTTTGCTATCTTCACATAAAGTGTGCCTAGAAAATATTTATTCTACCAGGCTAGTTTATCTCTGGACAAGAAGAGGGGTGAGAATCTCTGTGTAAAACTTCATGAGATCTTGTTTTCCGTGAAGGCAATGTAAGAAATTTCTTTGATATCTCAAAAAGGTATGTGAAGTGGAAGAAAAACATTTTTCTCGGAGTTCAAATGATAGCTAGAAAAACTGTCTAAAATTCCTCAACTGTCTAAAATTATCTAACCACCCCACAGGATCCTGCAAAGCATCTGTTTTTCAGAACAGAACCTTCTCTACCTTGTTTACTGTGTACTGTTCTACTTCTTGGCTCATGTTATTTGCCATTTTGTCTTCACTTCAATGCATTTCCTTTCAACAGCTATATATTGCTGATTCCCGATCTTCTGTTTTAGGTGGAGGTTGGGACACACTTTTTTTAAAAAAAGGAAAGATCAATCTTTCTGTTATTTCAGTTTGACACAGTAGATGGAGCTATGAGTTGGCAATCCATCTTCATCTAAAATTAATCAGAATTGAGGGCCATGAATGACGAATTCATACTCTTCCCAACATTCTGGAAATGAAATTTTACTAAAGCATTTGATTCTTAAACATATATGTCCTAGAAACATTTTTTTTTTCCCATTCAACAATAAATATAGAGTGATATTTTTTTTTGGTCATTTGTTTCCAGCAGGCTGAACAGGGATTTTTTTTCTTGTGTGACACTTACAATGGTGTTGACTTCAATGCAAGCAAATTACCAAGTCAGGTGCTGTCTTGAATAGCTTTGTGTTCCTCAATTAGTATCCTTTTCAATAAGCATTTCATATACATGGGAGGAAAATGCTGATGGGGTAAATTTTAATTTTGTTACTTGTCATTCTCTTACTTTTTCATTCATGAGCATGAACTCAGTTATATTTCTAAAATAAGGATGTACCACTAGACAGTAGTTGAAAAGAGGGCAAATACACAAAATTTACAGTCAAAATACACAGTTACCTATAGATGTCAGGTGAGTGAGCTTATGAGTGTGTCAGAAGGTAAA